TGACCTCATCCTCTTCATCTGCTACTTCCTCTACTTGAGCCTCGCCCTCCTTTGCTAGCAGCAAATGAATTCCCTTATTTCTGCAAACATGCCCAGGGGAGAACTTCTCTCCACATTTGAAACATAAATTGTGATCCTTCCTATACTGGAACTCAGTGGGGGTAATCCTCCTAGAGCCTTGGGGGGTAGTTTTGTTGTTGCTGCTGTCAAACACCTGATGTGCAGGCTTCCTCTGTATTGTCTCTGTAACTGGAGTTGGTTTTGTAGCCATCCTGTGTTGCTTAGCCATAACCTGTAAATAATGCTCCTGCCATCTCGCCTTCTCAAATGCTGATTGCAAGGTTGCAGGTTTGTGGATCTTGACTACAGACTTAATCTCCTCCTTTAGTCCACTCAGGAAACTGGAAATATAATAAGATTCAGTAAGACTAGGGACCTTGAGCATCACGGTAGCTCGCAGCTCTTCAAACTTTTCTTGGTAGGCGATTACTGTGGAAGTCTGATGAAGCTTGTTAAACTCCTCTATAACATCATCCTCCCCTAAATTCCCAAATCTACTACAAAACTCTTGGCTGAATCTGTCCCATCGTAACTCCCCCTTGTCCATCTTGAAGCCTTGATACCAGATACTAGCTTTTCCATCCAGATGCAATTCCACTAAATCCATTTGCTGCGAATCTGGAATGTGACATAAACGGAAAAACTTCTCACATCTCCTAACCCACTCTCTGGGGTTAGAGCCATCAAATTTGGGAAATTCCACCTTAGGAGTCCCTACAGGTAGGAAATTCCTCTCCCCTTGACTGGACAGCCCCAACTCCAAGTTTCTCTGAGGCCTTTGGACAGGTTTTCTCTCCGTGTTGTCTGGTGAAATTCCTAAGATCCCTCAGTCGCTTTGCAAGCTTCTCACAAAAGCGGTGTATTGAGCATTCATGGAAACCATGAAATTTTTCATCTCAGCTGAGTTTGCTTCCAAGAGCGCCTTCATATCAGAGTGATTTGTCGCCAACTTCTCTTCCAGTGCTAGTCTTTCAGCTGCATTGGCTTCAAGGATGCTTTGGATCCTTGAATCCTGCTTCTTCAGCTGTTCTTCGAAGCCTTTCATTCTGGTGCCCTCTGCCATAGTCAGCTACAGATTCGGTAGCTGAGCTTGCAGATCCAAGGACTGCAAGCTCTGATACCAATTGTACTGGACTTGCACCACAAGGAACGAATTCAAGACAGAAAATAAGAGAAATGTAGATACGGAGAAAGAGAGAAGAAAGAGTAGAAGGAAGACTGGGATAGTATAGACGAAAATGAGAAATGTTTACATCCCAAGCTACATCTCTTATCTTCCTCCTCTGTTTTATACTAGTTTCTGGTATTCTAACAATATAACTAACGCATGCAATATGAAATGACTCACATGCACGATTAGCTAACCAACACATGCAATCTGTTATTTGGAATATCTCCTTCTAACTAACTTCCTGACGTCAGCTAACTAGGCTCCAGCTCAGCCATTACAAATATGTCAAACCTTCTGCCATGAATTCTTCTTGTTTTTCATCATTGAATTTTCAGGATCATATGGTTTAGAACATGATCATAAGGTATCATAGGATACTCTGAAAGATTTTAATATAAAACAATAACAATTTGTAAGTAACATGAAATAGAAGTAGCGATTTTACCCTACACAAAAATTCCTTCTCTTTCTTCTCCACCCTCCAATCCTCTCTCTGTCATCCACAATTACTAAGGAATATATCAGGGCCTACTAGCTAGTAGTGATCAAGGGTTTTTTAGGATCCTTCAATAGTTCCTTTCATTCGTGAAAAACCCTTTTCCTCTAAGTTCTCTTTTTTTTAAAAAAAAATCTGTTCTTCTTTTCCCTTTCTGGGCAATGATAAATGTTAATAATAACTAAAACAATAAAAATTATTCACATTTGATAATTTCAGCACTAATAGGTCGTAGAAGAATGTGCATCCTTATAATTACTAAACAGAATAAATATCTAAACTAAATACAAGCATCTTATGAACAACACAAATATGTACACCAAAATATACATATGTTGTAAAATTTGGGTGATTTTGACAACAAAAATACTGAATTAGATTTAAAATCCTGCACAATAATTTCTTAACACGAACAAAAAACAATATAAAAAGAACACCAATCTTGAAAAGTTAATTTTAACATAAATTAAAAGCCAACAAGCACATGGCGTATTAAATTGGACAGGTATTTCTTTCGTTGGAGGGCCCTTTGATTTAATGCCTGTCTTGTGATATTCCCACTTGAGCCAAAGAAAAAGAAAAGTCCATGAAATGTAAACAAGTTGGACAAAATGGTGAAGACACTCATATATATTGCAAATGGTATTTTCGACAATGAAAATTATTTGGAAGTTTCAATCCAATAACGAAAATGCGACAGACTTTACATGATTTGACCAGGTTAAATTAGCCCCCCCCAACCCCCCCAAAAAATAATTTTCCATATTTCCATACAATCCCTTTAGGATTTCAAAATATTTATGTAACCTCCTGTGGTTTCATGTAATATGAAAAATGGACAGGAAGCACCAATAGTTACACTGATTGAACCATATATAAAAAACGTGTAATGAAATCAAAATATCCATTTAAAGTCCCTACGATTTGCATGAATATTCACTTTAGCTCTCAATAGTTTTTGCATTTATCCACATTATTCCCGTATGATTTTATGTATGGTGGTTAAAGTGTTGATTGATTTAGTGTGCTTGAATAGGACAGTACTAGTAACTAACAATATTACGGGATTTATTTTCCTTCAAGTTTTCACTTTACATGAAATCACATGAGATTTATGTGGGTATTTAGAAATATTAGGTCGTTTATGTGACAACAAGTGAATCCACGGGGGTATTATGTATAATCTATCCTTTTAACTGTATATAGAGAACTCTTTCTCAAACCAGTATGAACTCTGAACTACTAGGTAGGGATTCCATCTGGGTCCACTTTATTCTTCTCAGCATTAGTCAATTTCCAATTATCCTCCACAAATGTCGTTGTTCGATACCCTTAGCATCTACTGACTATAGAATTTTGGTTACAGGCCAGTCAGCTGATGGTTCACGTCCAGGCGACTTGGTTGTAAGGCTTGCCAAGGTCAAGTTTTCCCAGGCCACCACGTAACTTATTGAATTTTCTAAGTCAAATTTTAGTTGAATACGTAACAGTAAGATTTCCGCATCAGCACATCTTACTGATCACATGCATCAATTTATGGAAGATTTTAAGTGGTCATACTTCTTAGGACAGTAAATTTGGTCTTTTTGCAGGCATTAGGACTGTAATAACTATTGAATATATGTTGAAGTAGAATTGTTATGGTCATTGCGGAATCCCTTTAACTGTGATGGCCTAACGTGCATTACGTTTTTATTTAGTTTTTTTTTTTTTTTTTTTCAAAACTTCTCATTTTATTAAAATCAAGAAAATATACAGGCTTCAGTGAGAAATAGCTCCAGTACGAATCGCAGGAATCTGCGACCTATCTAAACCTAAGGCCCCCCTTGCCAACCTTGGCAACTCAGACTGTGTCGTGTACAAGATAATACCCTCAGATTGTGCCCCAACCTTGGCTAAGGCATCCGCCACTTGATTCATTTCCCGATAACAATGCCCCACCGTCCACTCCAAACCTTGGATTGCCAGTAACGTTTCCAGATCCGACCGAACTAACCACGGACACCTGAATCGTCGTACCAGTAGGTTGACTAACACAAGAGAATCCACCTCCACCCGAATCCACGAGAATCCCCGAAGACGGCATTGTTGCACCCCAACCACCAAAGCCTTTATCTCCACCTGCAGACATGTCAGTTCCCCAAACGGAACTGAAAAGCCAAACAAAAAAGCACCAGACGAATCCCTAAGAACACCACCCCCGCCACTAATGCCCGGGTTGCCAAGCGAGCACCCATCCGTATTTAACTTGAAGTCTCCCTGGGCTGAAAATTCCCAACAAACCACTCTATGGGAATACCGAGGCCTCCACCCAGAGAAGGTGGAGAAGACCGCCGGCCAGGAGCCAACCCCAATAAACTCACCTGCAAACTTCCTGGAAAATAGCCCTACCACGTCCGCCAAGATACGATCACAAATGGTCTGTCGACGCAGGAGCTGCCCTTCAAAAATTGCAAGATTCCGTGCCAACCAAATATGCCAACAAATAATGCAAGGCAAAACCGAGTGTAATGACTTCATATGAGAGTGCCGAACCGGTTGGCACCACCAAGCCGCCAAACGCGACCGCACCCCCATACCTCTATAACTCACTCCAGCGCCATTCCCAAAAAAGGTCCACAAGAACTGAGCTAACTCACCTTCCGCAAAGACATGATCCAACAATTCAGATTGCGAGGCCAAGCAGCAAAAACACTTGGAAGGGCCATACACTTGCAATCTTCCTAGGGATGACGCCAACGGTAACCGATCCCGCAGCAGTCTTATCATGAAGAATGAAATCTTGATTGGAATTACAGGGTGCCAAACCCTATCAAACATGAAAGATGAGGGGGTCTGACTACCAAGCAGCACGTATGTGGAAGCAATGGAAAAATCTACTGACTCTGTCAAGGCCCACACCGCACGATCGTCCGTGAACCCCACTGGGGCAACTTTAGTAACTATCTCTGAGACTATGTCATCAGGAACCCAAAGCCGTAGCAACTGTTGATTCCACCTTCCATTCAATACGAAATCCCAAACTAAGTGATCAGAAACACTTTGTAACCGTTGACACAGAGGACCAGAACCCATCCAATTGTCGAACCAGAAATTACACTGTCCCGACCGCACCTCCCACCAAAGGTTTTGCTCCGCCACCTCACGAATTTGAAGCAAACGCCTCCACATATATGAACTGCCCTGAACCGCCGCTACCATGCATGGATGACTCTGCCGACAATACTTGGCTCTCATAAATGTCGCCCATAAACACTCTCCCGTACGGAAACGCTACCACAATTTGAGCGAGAATGCTGTATGAACATCCAGTAGCGATCGAACACCAACCCCGCCCTGTGACGAGTCGGCACACAGGTCTGCCCACTTAATCCAATGATGTCGGAGGCCACCTTCCCGTTCCCCCCAGAGAAAATTTGCCATAGCCCGTTCAACTAAGGCTAGAACTCCCTTCGGAGGACATGAATCTGCCAATAAATGAGTTGGGATTGCTGAAAGCACGTGTTTGATGAGTACAATCCGACCCCCATGGGATAGAAAGCTGGACCTCCATGATGAAACTTTAGAAATAACTGACTGTACCAGCTCCATGAAATATAGGCACTTTCGGCGCCCCACAAAAAGCGGACAACCCAAGTAACGCACGGGAAACGACTTAAGACCAAACCCAGTTACCCGTCGAACCCTTGCCACACAGTGACTAGGCAATTTAGCATGCACCATGAACCCGCACTTCTGAACATTAATCTCCTGCCCCGAAACTGCTCCATAGTTCTCAATAATCTGCATAACACATCTCAGCGAAGAGGATGAAGAACCTGAAAAAACCAGGACGTCATCTGCATAACTGAGATGAGTGATCTTAGGACAGCCCCGCGGAACTGAAAAGCACTTGAACTCCCGATGCTCCACTAACTGGTTCAAAGAACGGGACAGCACCTCCGCGCCAATAATAACGTTACGAGTGCGATCTTTGATGGTCTACTGTCTAGGATGCGGCGGCGATTATGTCACTGGAGTTCAAAGATTCTGTCAATGGGGGGCAAGATCGTCCTCATCCGTCACGTATTGGGTTCTATACCATTGTATTGGCTTCAGGCTCTGCAACCCCCAGGGGCAGTGCTAGTAGCGATGGGTCGGCTCTGCAATGCCTTCTTATGGAACAACCCAGATTCTCGCCGAATTCACTGGACGGCATGGGAGAAGGTGTGCTACCCGGTCGAGGAAGGGGGGTTAGGATTTCGTTCATTTGAAACGCTAGGGCAGGCGTTTGCATGCAAGCTGTGGTGGAAATTAAGAGCAAATGAGTCACCGTGGGCAAATTTTATGCATTGCAAGTATGTGAAAGGCGAGCATCCGGGCTTGGTTTCGATTCATCGACCTTCGGCTGTGTGGCGACGTCTGCTGGAGGTGCGGGGGGTTGCTGAAGAAAACATCCGGTGGAGCCTTGGTGAGGGTTTGGTAGATTTCTGGCAGGATAGATGGTGCTCGGATGTCCCCCTCGCCCAGCTGGTCTCGGGCCATAGTCACTCATATCTTCTGGTAGGGGAACTCTTCATGGACACGGGATGGGATGCTCAGCGCCTGCGGCAGTTGTTGCCGGGAGCCTTGGTGGAAAAGGTCCTGGCCCTACGTGTGTTCCCGGGTATGCGGGACAGGATGATCTGGGTGGCATCCCAGTCGGGGGAATTCTCCATCACCTCAGCGTGGGAGCAGCTTCGGGGGAAAAGAAACATCTCCATGGTGGACTCCCTTTTATGAAGCCCGATTATCCCAAAAAAGATCTCTTTCTTTGGGTGGAGGGCACTGAGGAGCTGGCTGCCATTGGATGGGGTGTTACAGCAACGGGGACGTCCTTTGGCGTCAAGGTGCTCATGTTGTGGGAGTGCGACGGAGACCACTGGCCATCTCTTGGTATCTGGGCCAGTGGCTACGACAGTGTGGAGGAGTTTTGCAGATCGCTTTGGGATTAAGACACAGGGGCGGGGGGTGCAGGCTAGACTCTCCAGCAGGTTCTTCTCCCACTCCTGTGTGAGCAGGAATCATATTCGTGTCCTTCTCCCTATGGTGATCCTATGGTTTCTCTGGAAATCCCGTAATGCAGCTCGTTTTGAGGGGACGGCCATGTCCCCAGGGATTATCATTTTGCAGGTTAGCGCATTTATCCAGCAGCTGGGAAGGGGAGGTCGGTTACGCCGGAAGGACTTCCAGGGGGATGCGGATTGCGAGTGGGCGACATTTGGCATGGACAATCGACGGCAGGTTATACCCCGCGCAGTTACTTGGGCATTGCCACCCACGTCCTCAGTAAAACTGAATACCGATGCTAGCGTCACCGAGGGGCTGGCCACCGGGGGAGGACTGGTGCGTACTTCAGATGGCGACCTGGTTTTTGCATTTTACAAGGAGTTCGGGGAGTGCGATGTGCTCACGGCAGAGGCGTTGGCGTTATTGGAAGGTTTGCGGTTATGTTATGCTCGGCACATCATGCACTTTGTGGCTGAGGTGGATTCGAGTGTTTTGGTGCGCATGGTCTCCTCTTGCGGTCCTGCCCGATGGCCTTTGGTCAATACTCTACGTCATATTCAATGGCTTTCAGGGCAAATGGGGGTCTCAGTGGCACACATCTATCGAGAAGCAAATACGGTAGCGGATGCCCTTGCGTGCTCGCGGCCACAACAGGATGGCGTTTTTACAGTCAGGGCTGAGCTTCCTCGGAAGGCTCGGTCCGCTCTCCAGTTGGACAGGCTCTCAGTTCCCTCGATTCGGCTAGGCAGGGTCCGGCATTAGTAGTTTTGTCTAGACTTTTTGGCTCTGTGTAACTTTGTTCCCTCGGTGGCAATAAAAGTTGAGTTTTTTTTTAAAAAAAAAAAAAATAGATATATACATGGGTTTAAAAAAAAAAAAAAAAAAACTTGGGGATAACGGGTCCCCTTGACAAAGCCCTCGCGTAGACTTAAAGAAACCCACACTGGCCCCGTTGATTAAAACCATACATTCGAGACCAATCTCCAAATCCTATCAATCCATTGCTCCCTAAAACCAAATCTCCTCAAAACCATTGTCAAAAAAATCCAGGAAACACGGTCATAAGCCTTTGACATATCTAATTTCAGAGCTACATCGTCATTTAGTTATCTATCCATTTATCTATTATATGGTTTTTAAAACTCATATGCTTATGTTATAATTTTATTTTGATTGGTTGATCAGCATACATGAATATAAAGTGCATTTGAGAAAGTTTTTGCATTCAATTTGCTAGAAACATTTACATAGTGTAAAAGGGCTCAAGTTCATGGAAAATTTTGCAATGATTAATCAAATGGAAAAAGTTTGGTATTTTTAATTTAACTTTTGTGTGTAAGTAAAATAGTACATGAGTTATATTATGGGCGGTATTGATTGCAAAATTACGTAAAAAAAATATGAAATTTCTATGGCATAATGCAAAGAAGAATCCATTTTAGTTTTTCCAATTTTAGACAAAGACATTGAAGAAGATCGAGGATGTATTGTACGCATGTAAAAGATTTTCCGTTATAGTGCAATATAATTTGTCTGCTAGTTTAAAATCTGATATTAAATAAGTAAATTAATGGTACTTCTTCGCGGTTTAATGTTTTGCTCTTCACCTCCTGTGGTTTCAAAATCGCAATTTTACCTTAGTTGTGCTTTGGTAACGTGAATCCATTTGATCTTTTTTTGTTTTGTAACAAAACTAGCTGTCAAAATTTTGAATACAATTATTAAGAACTAAAGTAGGATGAATTTCATATTTTAAGAAATAAAGTGCTCAACTTTGAAATTTAATGATTAAAGTGGCAGTATGTCTATAGTTGAGAGCCCAAAGTAGAAAATAGCTGAGAAAAAAAATATACAAGACAACTATTCGCATTGAAATCAACCAAATACCATATTTACCCTCCTTGAAGTTAATTTAGCCTAAAAAAGAAAAATCAGTGATCCACTTCACAAGAAAGTTCAAGGGGCCAAGATAATAGGATAATTTCACATGCATAAGGAGATTATGACGTAACGCACTATATGCTTAGTGGCTAAGGTTGAGACCTTAGAATTTAGAGATTTTAGATTCAAATTCCCTTTCTCCTCCACTCTTAAACCCTATCATTGTTTTCTTGCCAAATAAAATTTTTTTACATTTGTTTCACAATGGATTTTCTGTTTTACTTTTTATTTCATCCCCTATTGTTATTGAACCTGACGTGACCCTAGCAATTGAAACAATCAGCCCAATGAAATAGGCTACAAACGAGTTGAGTCGAGTCGACTTTGGTTTAATCGATCCAAACTCGACTTAGTTTTATCAAACTCAAGCTCAAGCTTGAACTCGACGAGCTCTCAATGTAACAACTCGAGCTCGAGCTTAACTCAAATTCGAATTGAGTTTGAACTTGAACTGGAGCTTAAAAAAATAAAAAAATAGTTATTTTATTTTTCAAAAAGGGAATAAAATAATAATTTTTTTAACAAAAAATAAAATATTAGGGATATATATGTAATTTTACTATTAAAATAAAAAATAATATATATATATATATATAAAATTGAGTTGGCTCATGAACTATCGAGTTGAATAGCTTTGAACTCGAGTTCGAATTTGAGTTCGATTTGATCAGGTTGAGCTTGCCTCGAGTTCGATGTTGATCGAGCTCGAGTTATCATGAGCAGCACATCGAGCTCGAGTCGAGTTTTGTATTGAGTTGCTCGTGAGCGGTTCGATTCGTTTGCAACCCTATCAATGACTCGACCATCCGGCCGAAAGGATTTCCAGTTTGATTGAAGAATGGGTTGGTCCGATCAAACTTGTTTGACATGGTGGTTCAATCAGAGCCCGTTCGATTTTCCAGTTGACTGTGTTCTTTTTTCTAATACAATTGTGGATCATTGTTTTTGAAATAAAGTGTAATATAATTTTGACTAGATTTGTATGTTGGATTTCCACTTAAATGTGTAAAAAAATTTACTACTTCCTTAGTTTTTACTTGATAATTAAATGTTTTATTAAATAAACTTGTTTACTTTTTTGTTAGACAATTAATTCTTTTAACTTTCAAACTTACAATATTTGAGTTGTTAAAAATTATTTTATTTTTGAAAGATAAAATAATAAAAACGATGCTATACCTTTGAAAATAAGTGATACAATTCTGTTCTATATTTGAATGTGTTATTTATTTATGTACAAGTACAATAAAATGAAATTAAATCTTCTATTAATATTTGTATATTCACTGTATATCTTTCAAAGTATAATAATTAGTATCTAAAAGCACTTTATTGCTATTTTATATTTGTAAATATTAATTTAGTACCCACTAGTTCAACCAATGACTAATTGGTTAAACTAGTCACATGTTGCCCTGGTCCCTTTGTTGGATTTCTTGTCCAATCGAGTTTAATAACTATGCATATTGCCATGTATTCTTCATGTAGGGTCATAAAAAATGAAAATGGAATAACTAAAACCAAATACATGACAAAAGAACAAAAAACACAGCAGAGGAAACACATCGTTGGATGATTTCCCACCTCAGATTTGTGGTCTTCTGAAAGCGAAGGAAACTTTATGCTATCCAATTTCACAGGACCACAGATGCGTGGTGCGAAATCATCCAGCGAATAAGAAATAAGGATTTACATTTCTACACAAGGCTACAAGTGCATAGGCTAAAGAATTTTTGGTGATTTGTCTCTCTTCTTAATTTGGTAAATAATTTTCTTCAACCTTTGTTCTTCTACAGCAATTTGGTAATATTTGGCATTGTTGTCATTTCCTTATAATCACTGGGTCTGGACAGCCTCGCTTACAATGGGTAGTCGTAATTTGGTCCAAACACAATTAACCTTGTATATGTTCAATCCTCAGGGGAGTATCTTAATATTAATCCATAATATTGAAAATTGATAATGAAAATCTCTCTTCATTTACCGTCAACATGAAGCATGTGAGGCCAAAAGGTGGTGAAAAACTTTCAAAAAGAATTGAAAAAAAAAATATTCTTTCAAATAATGTGTTTTTGCATAGCTTTTTGGGTTAGGCTCTTCTCCATTAATTGAAGAAAATTTTTTCTCCATTACACCTAAGTAAACATGGTTATACTACTATTTTTGAAATAAAAGGTCATCCAAATTATATTTCTCGTGTTGTTTAAAGTATATTAAAAAATTCAAATT